ACCGTACAATAAGAAAGAAAACTGTTTAAGCTCAAGAAACTAAAAAGAAGCAGTTGGCTCCAGTTGTCGAAATGTTTCATAAAGCAACAGCAAGATGAAAAAAGGGAAAAATAAACTGTCCCAGAACGCGCAGAGAGGGCCAAAAATATTAATGTCCGGGAACGCGGGAACGCGGGAACGCGGCCAGCCTTCAGCAGGCTGTGCGCACCCCCTCGCTCCCCACCTCGCCTCGCGGGAAGGCAGCCCCTCTCCTCCCGGCCCTCCTGCGGGAGGCCCGCGGGGCTGCTTGTTCGAGAAACAGGCCAAGTGTTAAGGGGAAGACGGGGCGTGGTCGGGGCCCAGGGATCTCGTGTTTCAAGCCTCAGCGGGGCTGGGGCTCCCCTGCAGCCAGCAGAGGACGCAGGTCAAGTGGGGAAACCGGCTTCGCGCCGGACAGCTAAGCGAAGCCCGTGGATGCAGAGCATTCCGACCCCGGAATCCAGGGAGGCGGGCAGGGCTTGGCAACGCCAGCTGGCTTCTCGGGCAGTCTGCGAAGGCCTCCTGGGCTGCGCTGGGGTCCTGCAAAGACGGGGTGTGGTGGCGGGGCAGCCACAGGCCCTGCACGGGAGGCGGCCACAGCCCCGTCCATGGCAGGCCGCAGCGGCCGAGCCGCCGGGCAGGGGAGAGTCCGGGCGAGGTGGGCACGCGCCCCGCTCAGCTCCAGCCGCCTGGGGCACAGTCCTGACTCCTCTCCCAAGCGCCATGGGCAGATGAGGCGGGAGCTCCCCCGAAACCCCCGCCGTAGCTCAGACTCAGCCCCAGCCAGCGTCGGCCCCTTGATGACGGTCCAGAGAGCAAAGGGTGCCCTCAGCAGGGGGACCCCATCTTCCTGCAGCCCCTAGAGCACCTGCCGAGCCCGACTTTGTGGTAACGGGCGGGGGCCCTCTGGGGTCTGCTAGGAGCCTTGACCTTGTGCCAAACTTCCCTGCTGCAAAGTGGCCACACAGGAAGCGTCCTCCCTGGTCTCAGAGAACGCAGGGGCACCCCAGCAGCCTTGGCGAGCCCTAGTGGCTGCTCCCCCTAGTGGTGGGGGGCTCTGCTCCCCCTCACCTCTCAGGGAAGACGGCTCCTACTTACCGGGGCCGGTCACCAGCCGTCGGGGCCTGCTCTTCAGGACTAGCATGCTCAGAGGGCCGGCCCAGGCTGGTCCCCATCTCCCCACCCAAACCTTTGTGTGTTGAGCCGAGAACCCCGGGGGCGCCCCCCTCTCTGTGAGCACCAGCCACACCAGGCCCCACGCTGAGCTCGTGCATTTGCTCCTCACAGTCCCTTGAGAACCCTAAAGTTCATCTACGGAGGAGGAAACCGGGGTTCAGAGAGCTTAACCAGCGTGCACAGAGGTGATGACAAGAGCCAGGACCCAGCCCACCTGGGAGCCCCGAGCCTGTGCGCTTAACCACAACACTCGATTTCTTTTTAGCCCTGGACTCGCCCCCATGGCACCCCCTTGGATGTTTCCTAGGACAATGGGCAGAGTGGCCAACTCCTATTCATCCTTCAAAGCCCGCTGGCTCCCGGCCGCCCCGCTTCTGGGCTGGCCTGGGCAGCCCTGCTGTCACTGGGGTTGTCGGGCTTCCTTGCCATCTGTTCATCCCATCCTCAGGCCCGGCCGGGGCCCCAGGAGCCGTGCTTCCCTGTCCACTTCCGCCCTAACCTAGCTTCCCCGGGGACTGGGCTCCTGCGGGTCCTTCATCACCCCAAGCCGCCGCCACCACCTCAGGCCTTTGCGCTGGGCCGCCCCCAGCCCCTGGGAGTGTCCCCCTGCAGCGGGCCTGTGCTCACAGCCCCGCGGGGGCCGGCCTAGCTGCCCGCCAGGGGCCTCCCTACACCTCTTCACCTGCCCGGCCCTCAGCCCCCCCCTTTCGTTAATGGCTTCCTGGCTGCCCGCCTCCAGGATGAGTCTGCGGGGAGTTTCTGTCTCGGCCACCCCTCGGGGCGCAGGAGGCCCTCAGCAAGCAGAAGCGTGAGTGAGCCGCGCCGTCCAGCACGCACCATCAGCAAGCCGCGTACTCCTTAACTAATCCTTTCAACAGAGCCATCCTGGGAGCCCCCCGACGCAGATTTCGCCCTGGCTGGAGAAGGACCCTGCTCCCTTCCTGGGCTCCCGCCATTCGGGCACTTCGCCGGAGACCCTGCCTGCCGCCGGGGATGGCACGCTCAGCAAAAAGCCCACGAGGAGACCCCGGCCACAGGCCGCCCAGCCGCCGCAGCCCCGCCAGCTCCCTGCAGCGCCCCTCGTGGGCCAGGCCTTCAGCCCCAGCCCAGCACCCCCACCTGAGCACCCCGTCGTGGCTGGGCCTCTCTGGCATTCCCTCGGCCAAGAGCGGCACCTGGTGCCGGCTGCCACAGCCTCCCCAGAGCACACGCTCTGCTGAGACTCAGGGCAGAGGCGGGGAGGGAGAGGCTGGCTAGGAGCATCAGATGCCCAGCTGCAGTCCAGGCAGAGGCATGCAGGAGCCCCCGAGGGCGCGCCGGGCCCCACAGAGATCGCCGGGTTTAGCAGAAACTGCTGCCTCCACGCCCCTCCCACCCAGCTCCGGACACCAGGGCAGCCCCTGTCCAGCTCTGGACACCAGGGCAGCCCCTGTCCTGGGCACTGGTCGGCTCGCTCTTGCTCTGAGGGCCACGTCCGGGTGCAGGCCTAGGACAAGCCGCCACCTGGAAGCCTGAGGTCGATGAGCCCGTCAGTAAACGTCCAGCGAGCATCCCGATGGGGGGCTGGTACTGGGAGCACCCACAGAGTGAGGAGTGCAGGGTCTCTGGGAGATGGAGCTGGTGGATTTCATTCGGGGGTGCAGGGAGGAGAGGTGTGGACAGAAAGACAAGCAGCGTCTCCCAGCCTCCCACAGTCAAGGTGGGGTCAGGGGTCGCTGGCCCTGGGGATCTCCAGCCAGCAGCCCGCAGTGGGCGAGGGCTGTGTCCAGCCGGCCGGGCAGGGGGAGTCGGAGGTCGCCAAGGGGAGCGAGGTAGCTAAGGAGGGCCGCTGACCAGGCAGTGTCGCACAGGTGTGCTCCCGGGACGCACTTAGGGCACCGTTCCATCGAGGGTTCCCTAGGTGGGTTCCCTAGGGATTCACCGGGGAGTGGGGGGCTGCTGCTGCTGCGCCCGCGTGGGCGCCTCAGAGGCAGCGGGGGCTGGCGGAGGCCGGCAAACAGCCCGCGGCCAGCTCCCAGCCAGGTGTGGCCCCGCCTCCGCGTCCCGCGTTGCCTGGC